TCAGACAGCACGCTGTTGCATCGACCTCTGCTGCGCGTCAGTCGATACTGCCACTGTACCTGTCTTCGTGCATACTTTGAGGTATCTTCGTAATAACCCTCATAGTCATTTTATTATAAAAAAAGAATTAAAAAACTTAAAATCAGCGCATTCCAATTTTCCCATTGATGACAACAGAACTTTCTAAATCTAATAAGGAATAAAAAAGAAAGTTGTTCTATAGAAATATGCCTTTCCATTGGTTTCTTTAATCTTACATAATTGAACAAAAAATAATAACAAATATGAAAATTTAACCATTTTTATAGATGGATAGATTTTTATAGGGAGTGCATAATAAAGCATTTCAAATTTATTTTTACAAAATCAATAATTCTTAGCATACTTTGAAATATTGTACTTTTCATTGTATTAAATTACAGAATAGAATATATACTCTAAGCCTCAAAAATATATCTGTTTTTTTTTTTATTTTTACTTATCACACAGTTTTAAACCTTTTAATCAGTGAGCAGCCATTTTAAATTGCCATACACATGGACCAGTAACAGATCTTTGTTTTTGGGCCCAAACACATTAATTCGATTTTTTAAATTCCCCTATTTTTGTTGATGAGTGGTATCAGCTAAATTTATTCTAAATAAACATATAAAAATATAATAGAACTCACCTGAATATCGAAATTAAAACTGTTAATATGATTAAATATCGAAATAGTAAAATTAAATACTAGTAAACATTAATGCTGTAAATATCGGTAATATGAAAATTAGTGCTTTTACAATAAAGAACATTTCAATAATTTTATGCAAATTTAAATAAGTATGATGACATAACATATTGCCTCCCATCATAGCTGATATGAATCAGCAGGTGATCTCTTACTGTATTTTCTCTATTAGTAGCACATGTGCTTATAATAAATAAATATTTCTGGACAAAATTCTATAATATAAATAATTAAAACATTGTAATTTTTATGTTTCTTTCTATTAAAGATATTGCAGTATGATGTAATAGTTAAATATTTAATCATATAACAAATAAAAAACGATTTCTGTGAAAAATTGCTTAATATGGTGATATAATGTGTTGATAATATTTATTGTATCACTACTAGCTTCTGTGCTACATGTTGTAATTTTGACACTGGCTGAACGGCGTCAGAATGCCTGACTGAATACTGTATGTCTCGTCAGCAAGATCAATACTGCAAATTCACAAAGTTCACACTTTTTTGTAATGGATTTCAATGAATATTTATTTTGGTGGTCATGGTAACACCATCATGAAATTAAGGTACTTGATAGGTAAAGGAGACAAAGCCGTGTTTGCAATGTTGGCAAAAATCACAGACTGTTTTTAACAAGATGAAAGACATTGGGTGAAAATTTGCTAGCACCTTATCACACATTATGTCAACAAATAAACGCTGCCGTGAATGGTTACTCTTTGATGGTTGTCACTGATGGACGTTCCTGCAATTTGATTGGTACTGACAAAAAAACTTTGGGGAAGTGAAAACTATTTTGTTCTGTCATTGGAGGGCACAAGTCACATGACCTTGTCAGGCTAATCTATTTGTGTCTGTGTATGCATGCATGATTGATTGAGCATAAGCTGAAAACAAAAATAATAAAAGTTGACTTTTTCACTTTGTAG